AACTTAAAAATGCAGAAATAAATACGCAAAGGTCACCCCACATAGACATATCAGCTTTGAAACAGCCAGAAATAAGCCAGCAGTACCTAGTGGAGGTTAAAAATAAATATGACAGATTAATAGTTGATAGCATGGAACAATATCGACGGGAGAATCCAGAGGACAAAATTAATACAAAATGGGAATGTTTCAAAACTAGTATAGAAACAGCTAATGCCATCTTACCAGTGAAAGAAAACAAGAAAAATCAAGTATGGATGACTGAGGAAATTATTAACAAAATGTCACAAAGGAAGAAAGCAAAAAACACTCCAGAATATTCATTAAAAGACATAGAAATACGAAATATGTGTAGAACTGCTAAGAAAACATGGATTCAGTTAAAATGCAAAGAAATAGAGGATCTTGAAATAAAACACAGAACCAAAGAAATACATGCAAATATAAGAAAACTTACAAACAAGGAAAAACATTTAACAGGAAATGGTTGTATTAGGGGGAAGGATGGTAAAATTATTGTTGATAAGAAAGAATAAATAAAAAGATGGACTGAATACACAGAAGACCTGTTTTGGGACAACATTGGTGACAAACCGCCAATCCATAATATTCAAGAGGGACCAAACATATTAAAGTTTGAAGTAGAGAAAGCCATTAAACAGATGAAGCAGGGAAAAGCTGCAGGTCCAGACAACATAACTGCAGAAATGTTAAAATCATTATCTACTTTTGGAATTGATACTATCACAGAAATATGCAATGACATTTATAACTATGGGTACATTCCCAGGGACATGAAAACATCTGTTTTTATCACACTACCCAAGAAATCAAAAGATGTTGATTGTGAAGATTACAGAACTATTAGCCTAATGAGTCACGTAACTAAGTTACTCTTGAAGATAATACAAACAAGAATTCAAGATAAAATAGAGAAAGAAGTTTCTGAAGAGCAATTTGGATTCCGTACTCGAGAGGCCATAATTTGTCTAAAGATGCTGACTGAAAAATATATAGAAGTTCAGAAAAATATTTATGCATGTTTTATAGATTACAAAAAAAGCTTTCGACAGAGTGCAACATGAACAACTAATTGCAGCTCTTCAAAACATAGGACTAGATGGAGAGGATATCAGAAACTTATACTGGGAGCAAGAAGCAACAGTAAGATATGACATCTGCTCACCCCAGATAGAGATCAAGAGAGGAGTAAGACAAGGATGTGTGCTGTCGCCTAGCCTTTTCAACTTATGTACAGAAACCATTTTTAAAGAGATTGTAGAATTACCAGGACTGAACATCATTGGTAGAATAATAAACAATCTGAGATGTGCTGACGACACAGTGTTGCTAGCAGAGAGTGAGCAGGAGTTGCAAGACCTAGTGGAGCAAGTAAACAGAAGGAGTGCAGAATTTGGATTAGATATAAATTTGAAAAAGACAAAAACCATGATATTTAGCAAAGAAAATAATCAGCTAACAAGAATATCACAGTGAACGGGGTGAAATTGGAACGAGTTAAAAATTTCTTATATCTTGGACAAGTAATAACATGTGACGGCAGAAGTGAAACAGAAGTCAAGAAAAGAAAAGGAATTGCCAAACAAATTTTCAACAACATGCAACAGTTACTGACATCAAGAGAAATAAGCAATACATTAAAAATGAGAATTGTCAAATGTTATGTATTCTCAACCTTACTGTTTGGCACAGAGACATGGACAATGAACAAACAACTGGAAAATCGTATCAATTCTTTAGAGATGTGGATATACAGAAGATTAGGTCGTATTTCATGGAAACCAAAGCTATCAAATACAGAGGTACTGAGGAAATTGGGAATGAAAAGAGAGTTGCTAGGGAAAATAAAAAAAGAGACAAGTGAAATATTTTGGCCACATTAAAAGACATAACAGTATTGTAACGATCATCCTAGAGGGAAAGGTTCAAGGTAGTTGAGCAAAAGGCAGACCGCGTTACAAATGGGAGGATAACATCAAGAGATGGACGAACAGCAGTATGAGTGAGTGTACATCAAGGGCGAGAGACAGGGCTTGTTAGAGATCCATTACAGCCAACCTTTATTGTGGAGACGGCACCTGATTGATTGATTGAGTTCTCACAGCTTCATGAGTCACAGCTCCTTGATGAAGAGAGGAGCGCTAGGATAAGCGGTCACAGGTTTTAGGATCAATACAGAAGTCTTTCAGTGAGGTCTTGGGATTGTCCTTGAAACTTTTCTTCTGTTCACCTTGAGAACCTTTTTACCATAGCTCACCGTGGAAAATTCTTTTTGGCGGTAGGATATGCTCCGTAACAAGTACATGTTTAATGTCTTACGTTTACACTAAGTCGTGGTTTATGAGTTAAAAAGAAATAAACAAACCGCATAGACTTAGGCTGGAAATCATCGTCAGGTGCCTTGACGACTGGCGTGGGCGATCATGCCTCTCCGCAATTCACGATCTACTACAGCATATATAATTTCATGTGCCGAGACATCCCTATGCCCTGCAACAAGACTGTCAAGAATCTTCTCTCGTTGTCTTTCTTTACCCCTCCTTCCACAGATCTTTCCAGTGGTGACATGATCCATTTTCCCTCTTCTCATAACATGGTCGAAAAATGATGACTGTCTCCTTCTGATATCTGTGATAAGTTAGTTGTCTTCGGGCTCCCACCTCTTTCAAAACCTCTTGGTTGCTCTTTTTGGCTGTCCTAGGTATTTGAAGCATTCTTCTGCAAAACCACATCTCTGAGGCCTCAAGAAATTGTTTGGCCTGCCTACCTATTGTCCAGGAATCACAGCCATATGTTAAAACTGGATGTATGTAGCATTCTATATTCTGTATCTTGTATGTAGTATGTAGAATTCTTTTTCTAACTTTCATTGACAGAAATATATTGCATAAGATGTTCTTTATTTTATAAAATGCAGGTTTTTTCCTGCCCTTTTTTTTCTTCAAATCTCAGTAATGCATCTTCTATCTGGTGTTATTCATGTGCCCAGATACTTAAATGTATGTACTTGTCCTTTGGTCCCAATACATATTATTTGTTATTCGTATATCTTTTTCACCAATGTTTAATTTTTCTAATAGTTTGATTACTTCTTCATGTTTACACAGTCAAATGCTTTTGTATAGTGTATGAAGCGTAATTATAAATCTGTCTTTACTTCTACAGCTCTTTCTGACAATAACATTGTTTGTGCCTTTTTCTTCTACAAATCCACATTGTTCATCGCTGATTTCTGGTTAAATTGTGTTTCTTATTCTTCTCATGATTATTCTCAATAACATCTTAGTCATGTAACTCATAAGACTTATTGTGCGATGATCTTTACATTTTAAAGTGCCTAGTTTCTTTGGCAGAGCCTCAATTATGGATTTTAAAAGGTCATTTAGAATGTACCCACTGTTATAAATATCATTTAAAAGTTTAGTTATTATTTCAATACCAAAATCTCCCAGTACTTCGATTTCTTCCAATGAGATGTTGTCTGGTCCGGGTGCTTTTCCTTTCTTCATATGATGCAGTGCATCGTCAGCCTCTGCAGTCATTATTGGTGAACCATCATTGTTGAACTGCAGTTCTACAGCTGGTCCATTATCATCATACAATTCCCGTATATATTCTGTCCATCTGTTAATTATTTTACCATGTCCCATTAATAAGTCGCCATATTTTGATTTTTAACATCCAGTGTTGTTACGTGTCCTCTTTCCTGTTAACATATTTATCTGTTGGTACATGGAATGTGAGTCTTTACCGTGATTTTTTCCATCCTCTGTAGACATTTGATTCAGCCAGGCTTCTTTAGCCACTTTGCATTTGTTCACTATTTGCTTTTCTATTCTAGAGTATTCTTCTAAATCATTCTTTTTACTTCTTTTTTTTTTCATTCATCGATTTCAGAATTTCGGGTGACGTCCATTTTTTTTTTGCAACTCTATGGGTTGGTGGGATTGTCTTTTTTGATGTCTGCTGAGATGACTTACGCAACATGTCCCGTGATTCATCAATAGTCTTGTATAATTTCCATTGCATTATACCGGTTTTGTACAGTGACATTGTACTGTTCCTTAATTTCTTTATCCGTTCTAAATATTATAACATTCAACTTGATGTTCGGTGGTGTTTTCATAATATTCTTTAGTTTTATTCTAATCTTTTCTATAACTGGAACATGATCACTAAAGCAGTCTGCTCCTGATCTAGTCTTTGCTCCAACTAAGCTGCTTCCGAATCTTCTTGAAATCAGAATATAATCAGTCTGATTACGGACATCATCGCCAGGACTTTTCCAAGTCCACACTCTTCTAGGATGGTGTTTGAACCAGATCTTACCTATTATCATGATGTGCGACTCAGCCCATGCTATTATTTGTCCCCTCTCACATTGTTTGCTCCCAAGCCATAGCCACCCGTTATTCCGTATACTTTTTCACTTCCTATTTTTGCATTGAAATCTTCAAGCACCGTTCTCACTTCACATTTTTTGCATTGATCAACAGCCATGTCTAACTCGTCATAAAATGCGTCAATATCTTCTTCTTAACTATCTGCTGTGAGGGCATCATACATCTGTACTAAGTTGATTTCAAACGGTCTGCCATGGAGTTTTACTAATAGTACTCTATCTGATATTGTCCAAAATCTTTTCACAGTTTTTGAGTTTTTTGGGATCCCAAATAATACCAACTCCCTTACTATATTCCTTCCCACCTAAGTAAATAATTATATGATGATCTGAATACTTTCACCTGCTCCTGGCTATCGCATTTCCGTTTTGTACGTGTGTTATGACATCCAATTTACCAATGTTCAGGATGTTTCTACCATTTACCTTTTTTTTCTACAGTAGCCGGATGACGGTCAGGTATCACCCGTAGAACATGATGCTCCCTACCGGACGAGGTGATTCCACTGGAAACCCCATTCACGTCGTTATCTAAATTCGTTATGTTTCGAGGCATGATTTTCTAGGGATAATATAGTGGTGGTTAAGGATGGAAATGAAAGGATCTAACGGGGGATTTGAAGAGGGGAAAAACATTCAAAGTAAATTATCATGCAAACGGAGAAGGACAGCAAAAACTATTTTCAAGAAAATCTACTCACGCAGAATAGCGAGAACTAGGCAACGATTGTGGTGGATATATCCCAACATGGTGTGAATGGTCAGTGGTGTTTTAGAGCGATGTTATTCCGTCTGTGGTTTGAGGACCAGCACCGGTCCGCAGAAATTACCTAGCTGTCCGCCAAAACATTTCCTTCTCCCAGAAACTGTTCCAACCAGGTATATCAGATTTGCACTACCCCCCCCCCACCCCTTTTTTTCCCCATGAGAACGCGATGTCGCATTTGATGAAAATTATAATTTTTGTAACATTTAATTAACAAAATGCTATCTACATATGTTTCTGTTTATCTGTTTGCGCCAACAGCCGCTCCAAGAAAAGCTTTTCAATTTTCCTGATCCACATGTGTAAAATGTGTAAATAACAGTTCTTTTAGACTCAAGGAAAAGACATACAGAAAGTGTTAGAAATAAACTGCGCTGAACATATTCATTGTGGAAATAACACTTAAGCGACTGAACTATGTAAACCGCCAAGAACTATATCCTTGTAAGTTTTCGTCGAAGGTCTGGATTCATAGACTTTGCAGTTCTCGCTGAAACGCGTTCAGAGACAGAAAGCTAGGCCTTTATTGCTTAAAAAGAACAACTGGCAGATAAGAGGGACTTGCTTTTATGTTAACACGAGACATAGGTTTGGTGTTTGGAAAGTGATAAAACGACAAATCAGCGTTAATACTTTAGTCGACACAATATGAAAGACTGCGATTGTCTTTGCCTAGCTTGTATTGCTTTTCTGTGTCTAATGAACAAAAGATGTGAAGACAGGCATTACCGCATCGTGTTGTTACTAATTCCTTGTTTCTTTGAGCCAGTGCGCCAACAGCTGCAGCTAGAAAATTGCTAATCACAAGTTCTCATGAAACGCCTGTCAGTTTTCTTGTTCAGTTCTTGTGTGGCATGTGTGGTAGATTTTTGTGTATAGTTTTTTTTTAAAGTTTCTATGCCTGCATTAGTGAACAGCTGTTTTAAACATTCGCGGGCATTCGCGGGTATTTATCTGCACTTATAGAAAACACGAGCAGGAAGTAATATTCACACACACACACACACACCCACACGCGCGCGCGCGCACACACACACACAGAGTAACAGTTACATTGGGTGTGATTGTTGTTGAATTGGTACTTTAGTCATAAAGTTTTCACCTACTTGCTTCGTTTATGGTCCTGAAATCCCATGCTATCATTGTTGAAGACTTTTCTTGACATATGCGGGCCTTGCTAGTCACACTCGCCATCGCCATGGGCTTTGAGTCATATGCCTACTCATAGCGCAATATAACAATATCGTCTGGAAAGACGGAAAGGTGCCAATTAATCATTGGCTTCATTTATGTAACTGTTACTGTAGCGTTCACCTGACGAGATGCAGTGAAATATGCCAGGCAATAAATTGTGAAATTTATGTATATGTCCCACTTTGTATTCCTTCGTGCATCTGCTTGAGAGGCAAGGGGCCAACAGTCTACATTAAATAAATAAGCCAGATCTGTAAAACGAATGTGCACACAAAACTCAAGTTCTGGAATAAGACTACAATCCAGAAGTGGACGAACGACCCAAAAAACTGTCCAGTTTACAGCCTTTGAACGCAAATAAGAAAGAAGAAGACACTTCCTATACCTGGAAAGGTTCCTCTTGTAGTCTGATTAGAACCTTGTGACTAATCCGAACTGTCTGGCTACCAGATATACACCTGTAAGGAAAAAGTCTTCAAGCAGACTGGTGTCCCCTGGGATGGTTGTGTCTCTGTGCTCCATTGGGATAACATTGTAGATAAAAGACAGAAGAATATGAAAGCACGGTTTTTATTCTATCTTTCCTTTAAAATTCGGGAAATAATGATTCCTGGATGCACATGTTTCCATTTTGATGTGTAAGCATTAAGGAAGTACTTTAATTTCACTTGAATTTTTGTGAAAACACATTACTCTACAGAATGGAATATACTAATGTCTGTACGATAATTTTATGAAACACTTATTATTTTACATTAACTCCGGTAAATATTTTCAAACCCATTTCATTGCATTCTTTGTATATATATATATATATATATATATATATATATATATATATATATATATATATATATATATTCATCCTCTCTATCATATTTAGCTTAAGCCCAGTACTCTTTACTTTTACTGAAGAATTGTCAGCCACATGCATGTCTTACCATACTCCCTTGCAAATGAATATCTTTCTCTGTGATACTGGAAATTAACGTAATTGTTTTCATCATTCTGCATTTGGTAGCATTTTGTCCCAGCCAAATTTGTAAATGTTAATTTAAGGCACGCTGATCCTGCATGTCAGGATACAGCATTCTTCGAGACCTATTACCTCCGTATCTTGATGCCAAATGGCAAACTACTGGACGTAAATTTGCCTAGAGAAACCACACAACAGCCAGTGGCTGCTGGGGGTTGGTTCTGCAACGTCATGTAAAGGATACGCAACTAACCTTAATGCCATACTATGAGACCTAGTGCCTGTAGGTCTTGATGCTATAGTCGTTGAGACCTAGTGCCTGTATGTTTTGATGCCAGTCTTTGAGACCTTGTGTCTGCATGTCTTTATGCCAGTATTTGAGACCTACTGTCTGCCTGTCTTGATGATATAGTCTTTGAGGCCTAGTGCCTGCCTGTCTTGGTGTCAGTCTTTGAGACCTACTGTCTGCATATCTGGATACCAGAGTCTTTGAGTTCTAGTGCCTGCATATCTTGATACCATAGTCTTTGAGATCTAGTGGCTGCATGTCTTGATGCCATAGTCTTTGAGACCTTTGCCTGTATGTCTTGATGCTGTAGTCTTTGAGACCTTTTGCCTGTATGTCTTGATGCCATAGTCTTTGAGACCTTTGCCTGTATGTCTTGATGCCATAGTCTTTGAGACCTTTGCCTGTATGTCTTGATGACATAGTCTTTGAGACCTTTGCCTGTATGTCTTGATACTGTAGTCTTTGAGACCTTTGCCTACATGTCTTGATGCTATAGTCTTTGACACCTTTGCCTGCATGTCTTGATGGCATAGTTTTTGAGACCTAGTGCTTGCATGTCTTGATGCCATAGTCTATTAGCTCGTGTTTTATAATGTTGTTCTCCGCAATCGGAATTTTAGTGTGCTCTAGAGCTCTAGAATATCTCAGGAATATCTCAGCACCCTAAAATAACAAGACTTTGTTTAATATAATTCTGTCATTTTTTAAATATCGCATTCTCTAAGATCTCTCTCTCTCTCTCTCTCTCTCTCTCTCTCTCTCTCTCTCTCTCTCTCTCTCTCTCTCTCTCTCTCTCTCTCTCTCTCTCTCTCTCTCTCTCTCTCTCTCTCTCTCTCTCTCTCTCTCTCTCTCTCACACACACTCACACACACACTCTTTCTCTCACTGTTGGTGAGTTTGTCAGTTACTAATCTTTATTGCTTGTTTTCATTAATATTTAAGCCTTATAAACTGTTCTGCTTTTATTTGGATGCTGTCAAGTGTATTATGTTACTGCTGGTTTTTATGATACTCAGTGTTGTAAATAGTTATGATTCTGTTATGTCGTATATAGTTCATGTAGTTATATTATGTCTATCAGCTATTGTACTGATAGTATTGTTAGTTTCATGATACGTAGAGTATTCAGAGCCGACATCATAGCACTGGGACATTCCCACAAGGACTCACTCCACATCTACACTAGTCAGTGAAGACTTCTACTGTTGATGGTACCAGTTGCAGTGTGATTTTGAGTCCGTCTTCCCTTTCCCATGAGTGTAGCGTCGTGGTCAGGTCAGTAGTATATACCGACGAAATCTCTCGGTTATATCCTTGCTGCGTCATTCTCTCCAGACCTTAATGATCTGTCTGAGTATCTTTCACTTGCTGCCAAATGGCCTTGACTACATCCGACTTGTCATACAACAGTTCACCACCCAGTGGTGCAGAACCAGCCAGTCGGTCTGTCTTCTTTACTCAGCTCCATATATATATATATATAAAACTGACATGTATTGATTGGCACTCATATAAGTAGAAAGAAAGGAGATTCTATCCGTATACCATAGTTGTGAGCTTAAGCTGTAAGATATAGATGGCCAGTGAAGACAGCTTTTTTAATGGTGTCAAGTTGGTCATGCTTCTTAGTACCCGTGTTTTCGCAGCGAGGCGAAAAGTGCTGGTGATAATTCCGCATTCAGATTGATTACATTTTGATTTCCCGAAGATTCAGGAGCAGCTTAGTTGGAGCAAAAACTAGACCAGGAGCAGACTGCTTTAGTGACCATGTTCCAGTTGTAGGAAAAATTAGAATAAAACTAAAGAACATTAGAAAAACACCACAGAACATAAAGTTAAATTTAGGAATTCTTAGAACAGATAAAGAAATTAAGGACAAGTACAATGTCACTGTACAAAACCGGTGTAATGCAATGGAAATTATACAGACTAGTGATGAACAGTGGGATATGTTGCGTGAGTCAATTCAGCAGACATCTAAAGAGACAATCCCACCAACCCATACAGTTGCAAAAAAGAAATGGATGTCAACCGAAATTCTGCAGGTGATGGATGAAAGAAGGAAGAAGAAGAATGATAAAGAAGAATACTCTAGAATACAAAAAGAAATAGTGAACAAATGCAAAGTGGCTAAAGAAGCCTGGCTGAATCAAATGTGTACAGAGATTGGGGAAAACAACAGGAAAGACTCATATTCCATGTACCAAAAGAAAAATATGTTAACAGGAAAGATGACACGTAACAGCACTGGATGTTTGAAATCAAAAGATGGGACTTATCAATGGGACATAGTAATATAATTAACAGATGGACAGAGTATATAGGGGAATTGTATGATGATAATAGACCAGATGTAGAGCTGCAGACCAACATTGATGGTCCACCAATAATGACTGCTGAAGTTGAGGATGCAATACATCATATGAAGAAAGGATAAGCATCCGGGTCAGACAACATATCACTGGAAGAAATCGAAGCACTGGGAGATTTTGGAATTGAAATAATAACTAAACTTTTAAATGATATTTATAA